AGCCTCTTGGCGGCATTTCGTGCGTACGGCAGATTTGCAGTTGTAGTGCAGCATGATATGTATAATGCTGATGATCGTTTTTTCCAAATGTTTTCCACATTTGTGTCCTACGCACCTCCGGGTGTATGACTTCTTGCTTGCTTGCTTGCTTGGAAACTATGGAACTTCTGCGACCACGGGGACATGGGGGACCCCTGCGACCTGCGACGCTTGTCGCAGTGGGACTTCTGGGACCTGCGACACTTGTGAGACCTGTGGAACATGCGGGACCACTGTGGCCTGTGGGACCTGTGAGACCTGCGTTCGGCACCTGTGGGACCGAAGGGACCTGCATAATCCGATGGCCCACCTGTGGGACCTGTGGGAACTCCGAGACCTGCGGCCCCTGTGGGACTTGTGGGACTTATGGAACCCGTGTGACCTCTATGACTTGTGAAACCTGTGACACTTGCGACACCTGTGGGACCCGTGGAACCTGCAAAATCCGAATCCTATGGCCCTTTTTTGCACGTTCGTGACTTGGGAAAGCTGCGATGGTGAGAATCCGATTGCCCTGTGTCACATTCGTGAGTTGGGAGAGCCGAAATGGTGAAAACCCGATGGCCCTGCCACACGTTCGTCACTTGAGAGTAATATGGAAAGTTGAGAGCCCTGTGACCCTGGCACGTCCGTGACCTGGGAAGGGCGACTTGGAGAATACTTGGCTCTGGCTTTGGTTACCTGGGAAGTCTAGACTGGTGAAAAGATACGGCTGTTTACAAGGAATCGTGGCGCCGGGATCAAACACGCTGCCCGCACCGAGGCACGAGCGCGATCCTTGAATCAGTCGTGAGAAAGTCTCATGCGAAATGGCTGCTGGACCAGGGGCGTCCATGAGCTCCCCGTCCCCCTTTGTGGGACTCTTCTGATTCTTCAACTGTTATGCGAGCCCCTGGCCAAACGCTCTTTGGGAAAGACCACTACTGGTGTTCCTCCTGCTCCTTCCTGCCATTTTCCCTTCTCTTTCCCGTCTCTTTCCGCTCCCCTTTCCCGCCTCTGTTTCTCTCGTCGCTTCCCCTCTTTTCATTTTTCGTTTTCACCCTCCAGGTTTCTACGCCCCTGGGGGTCCAGCAGAGAGCGGAGTGTGGCAGACTTGTCTCGAAACTAGACCTCGCCCTTCGAGGGCGCTGCCAGGCGTGTTCCCTACTTTGCGGGTCCCCTTGGGTGTCCAGCGGGACGAGAAATGCGTACACCCGAAGGACCATTCGCCAGTTTTGGGCTTTGGGTGCAGTGGAAACCCATGCTAAGAAACACTCGCTTGCCTCCAGGTTGTCCTGGGTCTCTTGGGCTTCGATGGTTCTGCTATGGAAGGCGTGACGTTCCCACATCAAGATCCATGGACGTCCTGGGGTCTCAGGGCTGGGTTTCCTTAGGGAGGTCCGCTGGAAACTGACGCCATTCTGCTGCGCTGTGCCCCTGTTGTGTCCAGCAGAGTGGCTCTCTGCTCAGACCCGGGGCAGCCCTGGCCAGCGGATGTGGAAACGCATCCGCGCGCCGTCAGTGCCCGCCCGAAGATGCGCAGGGCGTCAGTTGAGCATTTGGCACGCGGCAGTGGCCTTGTCAGCATTCTTTGCACGATTGCATGATTTGGGTAATTTCGGGCGGCGGCGCCATGCGAGCTTCGCCATTGGGACCTTCCGTGGAGCTGCCTGTAGGGCCACGAAACGTGTGAGGGGTGTGTTGAAACAGACACATTGTGAATGCAGAAGCAAAGACTGGGAGAAGGGAGGAGGGGGAGGAGGGAGGAGGAGGAGGAGGAGGAGGAAGAGGAGGAGGAGGAGGAGGAGGAGGAGGCGGGAGGGAGGGACGCGGGGCGCCGTGTCTTCAAAACGAGGACCGAACACAGTGGTTGGGATAAACATAACCTAACCGAGACCGTGTTCGGCCACAGACACATGAGCGCGCCTGGCCTCCGCCTCGGCTTTGGCCCGCAAGACCCTTGATCCCAGGGCCTCGGCCTGGGAACGATCCTCGAATCCGAACGCGCTCGAACAAGCCTGGACATCGAGGCGTGGGGCGGCAGCTTGCCGCGAAAAGGGTGGCAGACGGCAGTGGCAATTCTCACGGTTGCCTTCACCAATCCCGAGTGACATCGAGTGACTTCGGAAGGGGTCCTGGGCGTATCCAGAGCCCTCGCAGGGTCCTGAGGGTGCAGACGCTTCCGAACCGTGTAGAGCGAGCCCCCTTTGAGCCTCTTTGGGCCCCCACAAGGTCTGCAGAGGCCCTTTTGCTTCGTGTCCACCGGGAGCGGATCCTTGTCTGGCACACCAGCTTCCAACATCGAGTGGCCCGAAAAAGCTGAGCTCTCCGACGACAAAACCCTCGTTTTCCAAAACCTCGGTATCTCCGACGTCTCTAGCCTCCTGGACAACCTCGGTCTCTACACTCCCACCCGACGGGGTAGCAGCAGCGGCAGCAGGAATGTCAGCAGGAGGAGCGGACGAGGGAGCAATGGGTGGTGGTGGGGCCTCGGCGTACACCCGGTAGGCCTCGTCGATATGAGAGGGCGAACAGTTGTCGGCAATCGTGTCGAAATTTGTTTATCTGATGGCATATACCCTCTGATGGTCTTGCATGTCAAGGTCTACCATTCTGGTGGCTAGCCTGGCACTGCACTTGGCGGCCTGGGACGCAACTTTCAGGCAACCCTCGAGAAACAGCGGATGATGATGATGATGATGATGATGATGATGATGATGATGATGATGATGATGATGATGATGATGATGATGATGATGATGATGACGATGATGATGATGATGCTGATGATGCTGATGATGCTGATGATGCTGATGATGCTGATGATGCTGATGATGCTGATGATGCTGATGATGCTGATGCTGATGCTGATGACGATGACGACGAGGATGATGAGAAGGAGGAGGAGGAGAGCGTTGGATGACCATGAGCAGGAGGGGGAGGTAGAGCAACAGGAAGAGGAAGAGGAGCGAAGGGACGGGGAGGAGGAATAATGGAGGAAGGGAAGGAGGAACACGATGAAGAGGAGCAGGTTGAGCAAGACGAGGTGGATGATCAATACTACGGCGATGTTGGTGATGGCGATGATGGTGGTATGATGATGTTGATGATGATGATGATGATGCTGATGATGATGATGATGATGATGATGGTGATGGTGATGCTGACGATGACGATGGCGATGACAACGATGCTAATGATAATGATGATGCTGGTGGTGGTGATGATGCTGATGGTGTCTATGGTGATGATGGTGATGATGATGCTGATGATGATAATGATGGCGGTGGTGGTGGTGGTGATGGTGGTGATGAAGATGTTGAGACTGATGATGATGCTGATGATGATGACGACGACTATTACGATGACGGTGCTGATGCTGATGCTGGTGATGCCGATGACGATGGCACTGTTGATGACGATGATGCTGCTGCTGGTGATGATGATGATGCTGTTGACGAGTATGCTGATCATGATTACGGTCCTGATGATGATAGTGATGATGATGATACTGATGATGATGAGGATGCGGATGAGGATGGTGATGACGATGATGATGCTGATGACGGTGTTGACGACGATATTGTTCATGGTTATGATGATGTTGATCATGATGATGATCATGTTGATGGTGATGTTGGTGGTGATGATGGTGGTGTTGATGATGTTGTTGATGATAATGCTGATGCGGATGAGGATGAGGATGCGGACGAGGATTGTGATGCGTATGATGATGCTGATTCTAATGATGATGATGATGATGATGATGATGATGATGATGATGATGCTGGTGATGATGCTGGTACTGATCTTGCTGATGATGATGCTGGTGCTGATGATGACGAGGACGATGTTGATGACCTTCGTGATGCTGCTGATGATGATCATGGTGCTGGTGATGCTGATGGTGATGATGATTACGAGGAGGAGGGCAGAGGGGAAGATCCTAACCGATTGTGGAGGGGAGTGGAACAGATGGGCATACTGAGATGAGAAGGAAGGACGGATGAGGATGATCGCGGGTTTAGGAGAAGGAGAAGTGGGGATGGGAACATTGGAGAGAGGATATATGAGGAGGACACCCCAAGCGTGGTCGCGCCATATCTGACTTACCCCTCCCACCCACCTTGCCCATTTTGCCGATTTTTGTTGTGCCCGCTGGCTGTGTTGGTTTAACGGACCTTGATCTTCAACGTGACCTCATCATGTGATGCGCAAGCGTATTGAGTGTCTGGGGGGTCGTACATCGGAGGAGGGGGAGGTTGCGGATGAGTAGGACGGAGAGGAGGATGTACATGAGGAAAGAGGAGGAGGGGAAGGAGGAGGACCAGCAGCAGCAGCAGGAGCAGGAGCAGGAGCAGCAGGAGGATCAGGATGATCGGGAGGACCAAGGGGAAGGTGGCGTTAGGGAAAGTGGGGGGCGGCAGCGACGAGACCACTATCGGAACCAGAGGTGTGCGTTGGGACGGGAGGCAATTTTGAGCGACGGGGGGGAAAGCGCCGCTCCTGAAATGTGGTTATCGCTGCAGCGGGAGCCCCAGCTGTAAGGCCCGAGAGCCCGAGAACCGTCCGATCCTAGGCAATACATACACAGCATCAATTTGTGACGTTCTGCGTGCGAGAGAAAAGACGGCAACACGAGGCTACAAACAGCCCCTGGTCTGGACAACTCCAGGGAAGAGATGAGAGTACTGCTCATACTGCGTCATCATGTGGAGGGAGGAGGCGGGGGTGGAGGAGGAAGAGGCGGAGGGCGAGAGAAAAGCGTAAGAGGAAGAGGAAGAGGGGAGCATAAGGTATGTTAGGGAGCATGCGAAGAAGGCGGAGCAGGAAGGCCCTTGCGTCGCCAGCCCCTGGACCCCTCGACCCGTACCCAGATGTTTTGCCATCCCGAGAAATTATCTCTCGGCCGCGGGGGCGGGAAGCTGCGTGAGAAAATTGTATTGCGGAGTCTGTCTCGTGTGTATTCTCCCGACCCCCAGGTTCCTGAAGGGCCTAAACAAGATCCTTATGGCGCTGCTGCTCTCGATCCCCAAGCTCATCAACGTGTGCATGATTCTCATGCTGCTTCTGGTGAGCCCGCCTGCCCCTCTCCCCTCGCTAGAGGGGGAAGACGGAGGGACGGAGGATGATCGAGGGGGAGGTGGAGGAGGGAGAAGGGGTCGAGGATTCAGAATATACGTATCCAGTGGCGCTGCCGCGCGATTCCGCCACCGCGCTCGGGCGGGCGCCCGAGGGGGGGGGGGGCAGGCGCTGGGGGGGGAGGATAGTTCTTTGAGCGTCCCTTTCAGGGCGAAGTAATCTTGTCTTCGCCCAAGCCTTTTTCGAGAACCCTCCGTGGAGGCCCCGCGGCATTTGCTCGGTCATGGAAAAGAGACTGCCTCGTTCGCACATCCGGCTGGTTTCGCCGTTGCAGGTCCTGCTAGTGCTGTCTCCCCCCGCGCCGACCCGACCCGCTGGGAGGGCAGGCGCGGAGTCCGGTCAGGAACACTCATTGTTGTTTTGCCGATGGTTTTTGCTGCATGTTTGCATTGTCCTTTTCTCGGCCCACTGACTTGACGCGACGGTCCAAGAGGCCCCAAAGAGGCCCCAGATGTGGCTCCAATATTGCTTCAGAGGCCACAGGGGCAACCCTCCTGGGCCTCTTTTCCTGAGGCCAGGGGCTTCCAAGACGGGCCAAGAGAGCTCCAGGGGGCCCTCCGGACGGTTCAAGTGGGCTCCGACATGGCCTTTGGCGTCCCACGATGGCTTCAAGACGGCCCCAGGATTTCACAAAGTGCACGAATTGACTGAGGATTATAGAGCTGTACTAAAACAGTGAGAACGTACATACATAGAAGCGGATCTACCTTGATTTCCGGCCCGGCGGGGGAGGGGCGAGTCTGGAGCGCCCCAGACAGCCCCAGAGCGCCCTTGAGCGGGCCCCAAGATGGACCAAGAGGGTTCCCAGAGGCCTTTCAGACGGCCCGAGAGGGCCCCGAGTCGCCGAGAGACCGGTCTAAGACGTTCCAGGCGGCCTCCAGATGGCCCAAGAGGCCTCCAAGACGCCCTGATAGGCCTCCGAGAGCCATCCAAACAGAACAGCCTTGATAGGAAGGCGTCGTCCCATTCCGTTAGGATGACATCGATTTCAAGCTTGTGCGTTTTTTCGGTTTTCGAGGCGTCCAAGACGGCACACGAGGCCTCCCAGATCACCTCAAGACGGCCTAAGAGGCCCTGAAGAGGATCCCGAGACGTCCCAAGGAGGCCCAAGACGGCTCAAGAAATGTCCAGGACGGCCCAAGAAACGCTCAAGACGGCCCAAGAGGGCCTTCAAAGGGGCCCAAGAGAGAGAACTCGAATTTAGATTTCGAGCCATCCGCCCCAAGGGGGCCGTCCGAGACCGCCAAGAGTCCTCAAGAAGCCCCCAAGAGGCTTCAGAAGGCCCCCAAGCGGCCCCCGAGAGGCCCCACGAGGCCCAGGCCGCAGAAGCTCTGACCACGGAACCAACAAACGACCGCGCGCCACAGCCGTCCTGACCCGATCATATACCGAGCCGAGGAACCAATTAGTACGGCGATGGTCGTACATACCATGCGCATGTACAATCCACACACATATATGAACCTTCCAAGGAAACCTATGCGGAGTCCACCTGAGCGTGCGCGACGCCGTTGATGGATAGCGTGAGTTTCATCCATCTTCCGTAGCTGTGTTGGCTCGAGACAGGCAGCGGAGTCACCGGGCGGTGCCGCCCGTCTGTGGCCGCTGCCGAGCCACTCTGACTACTGTAAGACTGCCGCGCTCGCGCGGCCGTTTGCAGGGCCACGCTCCGACGGCTGATTCTGATCAGCCTCGCTGGCAGCCTTGGCGGGTTGAGGGAAGCGAAGACCTGGCTGGGAGACGAGGATCCCGGGCGCGGGTCGCCCCTCTCCCGCTTGGTTGCTGGCGAGGAGCCCGATGGAGCCGGCAGCCCCAGCTGCCGGCGGCTGGCCCTTTTCGAGTGGAGCCTGGCTCGACGCGGCGCTGAACGGCGAGCTGGTGGCGGGGCTGCCGCCGAGGGCTGGAGCACGGGTCCTGGCGCGGGTCTAGGACGACCCAGCGGCGCCGCAGGGCGTCGAGATGCTCGAGGTCGAGGTCGCCTACCAGGCGGACACCATCGGCAGATTCATCAAGGCCCGGCAGGCGGGCGCCAGCGACACGTACTTCTCATGGTAGGCAGCCTCCTGCGGGCAGCGGGGCGCACATCGCGCGGCCACGGTCTTCCACCTCTGCAGGTGCAGCGCCAACAAGTGCGGGACGGTCGCTCCAGCTGGCGCTGTGGTCGAGCACTTGGACATGTGGCAGGTGATGGGCCACAGCGGCGTGGCCCGCGAGCGGGCGAAGCTCATCTGCCCAGCAGCGGATCCTGGGGCGCCTGTGCGGACCGCCTCGCCCGCGGCCGAGCCATTGCCTGGAGAGCTCGGCGGCTGGCCGCTCGGGGATGGGGCAACAAAGTCGAGGAGAAGCCTCGCGGGCCCCCGCACATGTGCGCCCGCGAGGTGAAGGGCACCCAGACCCCGGGCGGTCCAGGAGAGGCGGGCCCGCTCGACCAGGAGATCGCCGGGCTCGAGGAGACCGCCGAGGACCCCGCGCTCGAGGCGCGGCTGGCGCGGCTGGAGGGCAGGGCAGCTCGTGGTGTACCGAGGCAGGGCACGCCCAAGAACGCTGCGCGCCCGGCAGGAGCCATAGGCGAGCGCCTGGCACAGGAGGCTGCTGGCCGAGCCGCCGCTGCTGGCCCAGCGCGCACTGGCGCCTCGAGGAGGAGGAGCAGGCCAGCGTCGGCCGTGACCACGGCACTCCTGGACCGCGACGACGACGACGTGGAGGACGGCGTGGAGAGCGACACAGAGCGCCTTGGGGGCTGCGACCGCTACCAGGGCGTGAGCTGCAAGCGCGACTTGTTCGGCTGGATCGCTCGACAGCGGCCGGACGCTCTCCTCGTGAATGGGCTTGGCCACCTGTGCAGCCAGTTCACTCAGGAGTTGTCCGCAGGCGGGACCGACCTGCTGGCCCCAGGTGTCACACAGTTCCTGTACACGGTGCTCTTCGTTGCTCACCCGCCGCGGACGCTGGGGGCAGTCGAGGGGCGGGTCCTCCGCCCGCCAGGGCTGGCGCTCGACGGCATCGTGCGCAGGGAGGTCATCAACACTGCGGATCTGGTCATGCTGAGGTTCAAGGCGCGGTCGATGGGCATCCGCGACGGGAACTGGCAATCGGCGCGATGGCTCACGCTGGTCTCGCAGGAGCAGCTTCCGTCCGGCACCTCTCTGGGCGAGGAGAACGCTGCCGAGAAGGTCGAGGCCCGGGAGCTGAAGGTCGCCGAATTCCGCCAGCGACTTGCAGACCGCAGGCCGGGCTGGGGGCCTGGCCGGGAGCCGTCTCCGTTGCTGGGGAGGACGGCACCTGCAGGCCATGGGCGCGCGGAGGCGCGCCGCCCGCCCCTCTACTCCCGGGACGCCAGTCACAGGATCGGCCAAGGCGATGAGGATCCTTGCCGAACGAGTCCCAGGCGACGTTCCCGCAGCTCTCCGCGCCGGGAAGAGGCCGCCAGCAGCGCGGAGGACCAGCTGCAGTCCCACGCGGTCGGACCAGCTCCTGAGCGACTTCGAGGGGGACCTCGACGCAGCTGCCGCCGCCCGCGTGCCACCAGCGGACGCGGCTACGGGCCGGGGCTTCGCGCAGCACAAGGCGGCCCACCCGAGGCGCGAGGGCGAGACCCAGGCGGCGTGGAAGGCGCGCATTGGGAGGCCGCCGGCTGCCAAGAGCCGCGGCGAAGGCAAGACGGGGAAGAGCCGCGGCACAAGCGCTGCTCGCAGGACAGCCCGGGTTCAGGCGTGAGGACCGACGCTGCGGAGGCCGCGGCCTCGCGCACGCCCCCGCCTGCCCTCCGCCCGCCTGAGCGGCAGCTGCGCGGCAGCTCGCAGCCGCGGCGGTGGCGCCAGATGCCAGCCGAGGTGGGCACAGGTGTCAGCTCCAAGTTCAGGCTCCCTCTCGCGGTCCACGAGGCGGTGCACGGTTTGCCAGGGGCGATCGGGCGGTATGGTTGTGAGATGTGCACTTCGCCAGACCCCACGGCCAGCTTCGCGCGGCTGCGCGAGGTGTTGCCGTTACCGTTGCCCGAAGCCCCACTCTTCGAGAGGCACTGTGCCGCCTGGTACTTGCACCAGCAGTTGTCGGAGACCTGCGAGGTGGACGCCGCCGCGGCGCAGGGGCGGGCCCTGCTCGTGGACTTCAGCCTGAACTACTCGTACATGGGGCACATGCGTTGTCCAACCGACGCCGCAGTGCGGCCCACGGCAGGTCTGGTCAGTGCGCTCGGCATTGTGCAGGAGGGGTGTGCGAACTTCGTTCAGGATCCTGCCGCAGCGTTCGAGCTCCCGGACTGGGACCAGGTCATCGCGTCGAAGACCGTCTCCCACGGGGGCAAGGTGATGCCCCGCGCCCCGCCGCTCTCGCTTGCAGGCAACATGCCAGGCCTCCCCGCGCAGGGCGACCCCGCATCGGACAAGGCGGTCGACCTCGCGGACGCTCAGGCGGGCGCCGGGCGTGCCGGCCCCACGCTGGCTTTGCTCCCTCGGGATGAGTCGCCTGCCGAGGTCCCGCAAGCGGCGATCCAGGTCACGACCAAGCAGGAGTGGTACCGCATCGGGACCAAGCTTGTCAAGCTGGGGCTGGCTGCGCCGATCGCCGACGACCGCATCTTCAAGGTCGGGAGCCGCAGGGTGCTCGCTGGGGCGTTCAGGGTCGCCCAGGGCGGCACGCGGTCACCCGGCCAGGCGTGCGTCCAGCGCCTGATCATCAACATGGTCTCGGCCGACAGCTACCAGCGCATCATGGAGGACGGCATTGGGACCCTAAGTGCATCGCCCTCGGGGGTCGCCGTCCCGCTCCCAGAGGGGCACATGCTGCTCGGGTCCTCAGATGACCTGGCCTCCGCTTTCTACGGCTGCGAGCTGCCCGAGGCTTGGCAGCCACACATGGCCCTCGCAGAGGCGATCCCAAACGAGCTCATCGGTGTGCCGGGACCAGGGAAGACACACCTCGCGCTGCTC